AAAAGGTTTTTATCTGTTTTCGAAATTCTTCTGTTAGAGATTTCTCTTGTCTGTTCCGATAATTTGAAATAAATCTTCATAAAATGTTTTCTCGAAATAAATCTTCCCAAGGAGACAGACAACGGTTGATCTCGTTGGGTCGATGTTTGTTCGCCAATTGATGACCAATAAGCTTTATTTTATTCTAAGTCCCTTATCTAAGCGAACGTTTGCGAACGGAGAAATCGTGGAGTCCACCGGACGTAACAACAGATTATAACTACAATGTTGCAACAACATTCTAACTATATTGCAGAAATATTATAATATTGGTTCTTTTCGCACAAATACACGGTTATATTCGCAGACGTTTATTAATTAGTATTAATTAATAAAACAATATTATATATAAACAATTTAAACTAGACCGTGTAAGTGAAAATTGCAAATAAATTTGAGAGCGCTTTCTTCGATTATAGTTGGATTTTGGTGTCTAGTAATAATTAATTCTGTCAAATATTGAAATCCATTATTCAACCATTTAAACTGCGCGTCGAATCAATGTCGGACTTGCAAAGCAATTATTAGCTGAAATTAAAATTAATAATGAGATTACAATTGATCTTTAATTTTTAATAATTCAATGCAAATAAACATCTTAAAATATTGCAAAGAACTTATTGCGAAAAATATTATCTCAACCAGAGCTTGAACTTGGGACTTACTGATTTTCCCGGGATGGGCGACTTAACTAATTCGATTACCGAAGCATGTGATAATATTCATCGCAATAATTGATATATAATAAGGGATAAATATGCCGGAGTCATGTATATAAACATACAAATTTGAACTAGACTGCGTAAGTGAAAATCACAAATAAATTTGGAAACGCCTTTTATAATCATGGTCTTACACAATTAGTGTTTAGTAATAATTCTATACGAATATTTAAAGTTATTCCATTATTTAGCCATTTAAATTGCGCGTCGAATCAATGTTGGATTTGCAACGCAATAATTAGCTGAAGCTAAGTGAATGAAACAATTATTATTAAGCACCAAGATCTGTTTCAGACCGCATTTCTAAAATTTATTTAGTTTGAACTTTCGGTTTCGATTAGGTTTTATGTTAATGTTTATTTTTGCGTCGCGTAAAAAATAACGTTTCTTTCCACACGTACTATTTACTCGTATGGAAAGTAACTATCGAGAAATAACTATTTAGAAGACTATTGAAATGTCAGTAGTATTATGAGACATTACTATTCCTTACTATTGGAAACATGAATAGTTTACTATTGGAGCGAACAGTAACTATTAGACATTTACTATTTATTACTATTAGAATCGTAAGTAGTTTACTACTGGAGCGAATAGTGAAGACATTTTTTTAAATAAGAAAATATATTATTCCCAACTAATTTAAAGAAATATTTTTTTCTATTAAACAAATAATTCATAAATTATAAAAAGTGTTTTGTTTAATACAATAAATATATTTATTAAAATACAAGATTTTAACAAAAAATTTTTTGTTTATTTTATTTTATAATTACATATTATTATTTTTAAAGTTATAACTTATGTTTATTATTTTGCATATTTTCTATTTTGTTAATTATAATTTATACGCAGTTTATAATTTTTGAAAACACATCAAGATATTTGAAGCTGAGATCCCTAAAACATCAGACTTGTACGCTAACACTGAGCTGATACTTCGTACAAATGACTTATTCTTTCCATTATATAGATGCCAGAAAAAAGTATGAAATATCTGGCGTAAACTATTGATTTTTCGATAATTCTACCGAAATATTTTTATATGCAGGATAATTAGAGGAATCATATTAAAGTAACAAAAATCATTTAATTTTATTTAGAAAAGTGGATGTGACTTTTATATCTTTTTAGCGCCTTCACTTAGAAAAAAACATGACCAAAATACCTCAAATTTTCCTCGAAACTAGATAACACTTTCATCTAAAATATTTTTTCGTATCAACAACAAGTTAAATATTCAAGATATTCGATTTAAGTCTGGACAACTCTGTATATAATATACCACATAAATATTATATAAATTATATAGTATTTATAATATAATATTATACCACATAAATACACTATTATATGGATTTTCATATAAAGTTTTATACATCATGTGGATTCCCAGATGGATTTTCGTACACCATGTACATTTCCATACGGATTTTCAAACAACGTGTGGATTTTTACATGGAATTCCATATAGGATTTTTGATATCCTATATAGATTGCTAGACTCCCATGGGTTAATATGGCAACCCAGCTGGTTTTTTCAACAGGGAAAATCGTGAATAATTTACTATGGAAGCAAATAATAACTACAAGTAATAACTGCGCCTTACTAGCAATTTTCGTGAAAATTTAATAGTAGTAGGTGGTAGGCTAATCCGCGAATATCCTCGTTAGAATCTCTTATAGTATTTAAAAAAAAACATTGTTATAATGTAAATATATATATTTATATACATTATAATATTACATTAAAAATTTAATATAAGAGTATGTTTATAATAATTAAGAAATTAAAAGCTTACAATTAATACTTTCTAATATCATTTATTAATCCATAATAATTGTCAATATCGTTACAGGTTTGTACAAACATGTATATACACACATATACATATGTATATACATATATATATAAATATATAAAAATATATAAAAATGTTCAGTTTTTATAATTAAATGTAAATTTATAAATCGTAATTTTAAAATTTATTCTATTACCAACAACATAATATGTCTTATAATTTGCAGAGTATATACGCGTACAAATATGCGTATATGTCGTCTGTATGAAATATTTTAAAACCAAACATAAAAAAATATTATGTTCGGATTTACAATATTACTAACATATAATATTACTATCATATCGTTAGTAATATTATGCGCCAACACAGTTGTAGTTACTATTAAATTATTTTTCAATTACTAATTGCAAATAGTTGCTTTTTAGAACTATTCGCAAATAACTGTAGTTACTATTCATTGTTCTTCATTTATGTAGTTAGGAATAATTATTTTTTAGAACTATCAGTCAACAATCATAGTTACTATTCAATTACTTTTCATTTACGAAGTTGCAAATAGTTGCTTTTTAGAACTATTTTTAGAACTATTGGCCAACAGTCATAGTTACTATTCAATTATTGTTCAGTTACATAGTCGCAAATAGTTACTTTTCAAAATTATTGGCCAATAGTTGTAGTTACTATTGAATTACTATTCAACATATACACATAATAATCAATAGTTACTGTTTAAGTACTTTAAGTTACTATAGAAATTGAATAGTAACTTGAATTCTGAATAGTTCTCAATAGTTTCTTTCCATACGAATATTGCGATAAATATTGCCACATACTTCGGTGGTCGGTAAGTTGCCCACCCGGACAGTAGAGAGGGCTAAATTCAAATACTGAAGTAATATTTTTCGCAATAAGTTCTACAGGATTTAATAAGATACTCATTGGCATAAAAAATTATTAAATTGTTTGTTAATTTAATTTGTGATATTACGTGTACGTAGTCCGAATTCAGTGTATATTTTAAGACTGATATATATTTAGCACGCAGTTTATCTGAATTGGAAATTGTAAAGATTCACACAATTATTATTGAGCATCAAGATCCGCTTCAAACCGCATATAACATTTCTAAAAATTTATATAGTTAAAAAAATATGCTTAAAGAAACATGCAAAGTGTTGTGAAAAGATAAAATCGATTTGCATGGATATGCCATACAACGGTGGTGTATCCATTACAAAACATAGCTAGCATTCTAGAATTAAATTAGAGATCAATTTTTAATAACTGAAATATGTACATTTAAAAATGAGCAATTATAATATATAAATTATCAAATTTCGAAAAAAATGCTACTGTTAAAATTTGTTAATCAGGATTGTTCTTATAATTAAATAATACATATGTTACAGAACCGGGAAATCGATTGAGTAGATCAGGAGGATCGGAGGACTCGGGACCAATTGCAAGTGGCAGCGGCTATCTCCAACTAAATGCATTGAATCTACAGAGTAGCACGCCGATGCTTGGTGAAAGTAGCTACAGTATAAACCAGCACAAACCAGCAATACGTGGTGGCTGGATATACGATGAGGAACCTAACCGGCCTACTTACAACTCTTTTATCAGTATCGCGAAGAAACCTCCTCCAAGAATATTGGAAGCCTTACCTTCGTATCCGCACGATGGTACGCCATTCAAATCACCCGTTAGATTCAAAGAGATGGCATTAAAAGAGTAAGTGATTCTTATTTGAGATTTTAATAAATTTTAAGTAGATTTGGATAATCCACATTGGATATCTTTTTTTAATTCAGAAATTTTTTAAGATTATAACTTAAATATTATAATTATCTATAATAGTTCAAGTGTTCTTGACTAAAAAAAGAATTAGAAACATTTTATTATAACTTTTAAATAAAACTTGTTAAATATAAAAGGATATTAATTGTTAACGGACGTATTTATATGTACGTACATGTATATATTATAATATATGGATGTTCTAGAAAAATCATATGTTCTTTTGCTGACAGATTTTGCAGAGCATTTTAAGATAAAAACTTTTATATAAAAATGTAATATGTATATATATAAAATGTTTGTATCAAGGCTATAATACTTTTCAAATTAAATTAAGATTAAAATTGATCAAAGTTAGCTAATTGTAGCATCTGAAATTTGCGCGCCCAGATATGATACATCGCACGCACGATTGCGAAAAACCTTTGACAATGGACTCTCTTTTTAAATATTGACATAATTGACGCGCTTATCGCAAAAGTATATAATTGTCGAAATTGGGTTTCCTATTTCAAAAAGTTAATAGTTTTATAAAATAATGGCGTTTTAAAATAGGAAATCGAAATTTGGCAGTTAAGTCACTTTTGCGGCAAGCGCCTCAATTTTGCATGAAATGATAAAGAGATCTTTTAAGCTTTGTCTTGTTCATTTATGATTGTTTTTAATGTCAGTATAATATTACGAAATATCATGAAATGAATAAAAATAAGATAAAGAAATGTTAATTGTATAAATTAGATTGAAAAGAACGTATACATTTTCAAAATTCACAGAATTAGGCATACTATTCTTTCCGAAATAAGATGTTTTTCTATTTTCTATTTTTCTATTTTTTTGAATATTTGGATAAAGAAATAGCTAGCTAAATTTGCAAATTTTAAATGTCTTTTATTCGTTTATGTTTTAAAAATAAATTTGACAAAAATAATAAGATATACAAAATTTATTATTACATCTAATACATATATAATTATAATCTTTCTCTCTAAAAGTGAATCAGTGGAATTTACTAATTTTCAATGTATATCATTTTTCAGTGACATATTTAGAACTGTAATAAACATTGAGTATATCCTGCAATGTCCTTTTAGTAATAATACTGATTCAAACAATATCACTAAAAGATAGTGAGTTTTTGGCAAACAGTTTTGAGAACTGAAATTCATTGTCTTTCAGTGATATTCACTGTTTGAATCAATATACTATCACTGAAAAAACATTGAATCACTCACTGATTATCACAGTTCTAAGTATGTCACTGGAGATAATATACACTGCAAATAAGTAATAATTCCACTGATTCACTTTTAGAGAGTTTGTTTATTTTGATACCTATTATTATAGAAGACCAGTGCAAATTAAAATTGAAGTTGTACTTTAAAGTATGATATTACGTATATTAAAATATAATATTACATTACTTTAAAACTATATAATAACTGTGTAATGACAATAATGTTTTGACGTTCAAAAATTTCAGAAATTTTAAAAACTAAATAAATTAATCAGAATAATCCTATCTAAAAAAAGGGCACATTAAATCGATACTCAAATCTATCGAAATCTCTTGAACGTCTCGCAGTTTATTATATTGTCTCTTTTTCGCAATAATAATTGGTTCTCTTTTCTCACTGCGCTAAGTTCGTGAGCGGCAAAATATTGCATATTTTGACAGTTGTGTGTACTGAGGTTGATGTAATATAATTGCAAATTATAGTAAAAAGTAGAAAATGTTAAATAGCGCGTAAAGGGCGCGTCTGTAATGCTATAGTATTGTAAAATAAGCAATTTAAAATTTGTATAGAGATATTTGTTTTTATTATTAGGTAAAGTTATAATAGTAAATATATATATATATATATATATATATATATATAATAGTAACAAAATAGGCAAATGAGAGTCGAGCGCAGTTATTGAGGCGCAAATTATCTCTTTAATATAATGATGAGATCTACATACAAAATTTAAATACAAAGTTTCCAGACGTTTTGACTCCTCTTCTAGAAGTTACCATTAGTGTACCTTGAATTAAAATATTTCATGATCTTTATGTGGGAGTCAATCAAAGTTTGCACAAACCGAGTGTATTGTCCACGTTGATTACAAAGCCATGTGGTATATGTTGTGATTAATATTCGCAAAGAATCATAAAATATAATAAAATGAAAAGTGGATCATTGTTGTAGTCGATATGTCGCAGGCAAATGGTTATATTTTGGGCCAGTAGCTAGACAAATTCTATTTACCTGGTCAAATGATTTTTATTGATTATATTTATTTTCTAACGTTATTTTCCTAGGCAAATGCTATTTAACTGAACCGTTTTTAGGCAAATAGAATTCAATGAAGTATACCTTCGCGCATACACTTTACAACGCAAGGCAAGGTTCCATACGGGTTTACAACTTTTTACACGAAGGGAGAGTCACCCCATACCAAGAAATGGTTTAGATTAGGTTAGTTTTTTTTTAGGTGACACCTCCCCCTCCCGCAGGAGGGGCGAAACATATTGCCTCCACGCATGTACTTTACAATGCGAAGCGAGGTCCCACATGGGTTTGTAACTTTTTACGCGAGGCGAGATCCTACGAGATTCTAAGAGAAGGTTTTATTTGCAGAAATAAAAAATACACAAATGAATGATCAAAATAGTAACCTTACTAAATACTGAAATCAATATGTATCATCAATATATATATACGTACTTCGTTCAATTCCATTTTCCTAAAAAACGTTCGGACAAATGATATTGCCTAGGAAAATAGCATTTGAACACAAAGCAATGAGGAAAAAGTCATTTAACCAGACAAATAGCACTTGTCTATAAGCCAAAAGCTACTGGTCCAAAATGACCATTTGCCTGCGACAGATATACAGCAATTGTTAATAACAAGAATAAATTACATTATTACTAAAAATCACGGCCCTAAGTTTCTCTAGCTTGCAAATAACGATCACGTTATCACTTCAACCGTCAAACTTGTAATGAGCAATGTATTTCAAATTTGACGGTTGAAGTAATAACGTCATTATTTGCAAGCTAGAGAACCTTAGGAACGTGATTTTTAATAATGATGTAATTTATTTTTTGTTATTAACAATTGCTTTATATCGATCACGACAATAATCCACTTTTCATTTACTGTATTTTATACGAATATTATTCGTTGCATACACCACATGGCTTTGTAATCAATGTGTGTTGGAATATTCTCTAGTGATCAAGGGATCAAGACAAAACGTATTGCCACTATGCTTGGTAACAGACTCACAATTAGCTAGACTGACTTCTTTATTCGCATACATACATAGGAGAGAGGAGGCGCTGAGGATAAAACAAAATACTGTGCACACGCACGTCACATCGCTCGTAGTCCTGTCGATAATATTCGCTAGATGACACTAGATATAATAGAGTGCACATGAATAACTTAACAACGTGGACGATACTCTCGGTTTGTGCAATCTTTGATTGACTCCCGCATAGAGATCATGAAATATTTTAATTGAAGATAATACACTGATGATAACTCGAAAAAGAGTCGAAACGTTTAAAAACTTAATTTGTATTTAAATTTTATATGTAGATCTCATTATTAAAGAGATAATTTACGCCCCAATAACTGTGCTCGATTCTCATTTGCCCGTTCTGTTTATTATTATTTGAAATTCGAGAGTCCTTTCTAGATTTTAGTAATATGTAATATTTGTATAATGTAATATTTTAATACATGATGTTTCACTAAACTGCATTTAATCTGCATTATTATTGTATCAGTACAGTTTTCATCAAAACCTAACACGACGTCAGTGCTGCATCAGTTTTTTCAGTAGAAAACGCTATTAGTTTAACTACCAGTTTTAATAAATTAAAATAAATAATTATTTATTTATATTTTTACTATAGATGCAAGTAAGCTTTTATTTTGAGTCGCAACGAAGGGGAGAAGGGGAGGGGGATTTATTAGATGCAAGTAAACATCAGTACTCATTAAATTATTTAACAGCGTGATAATACGGTTCTGTTTTGCGTTGAATCCAATAGTAACGGCTTGCAGTTCGTTGAAGCTAGAGTATGTAAAATCACATAATTATATTTAAATATTAATTGACACCTATATTTCACTCGTCTTTGGCCTCTTATTCTGACTAATTATTTACTTTATTTTCTTTTATGCTCATTATCTTTCATTAACACATACATTTCCATATCGCACCAGTTTTATGACTTGTCACCACCGACTTGTCCGATGAACTACGTAACACAAAATATGTTAATAAAAATCAATAAAACTAGATAATAATAGGTATCAAAATGAACAAAAAATTATTGTGCGTATATGTATTAGATGTAATAGTAAATTGAGCATTATATCTTATTATTTTTCTTAAATCTAATTTTAATAAACGAATATTAATGACATTTAAAATTTGTAAATTTTGCTATCTATTTCTTTATTCAAGTATTTAAAAAATAAAAAAATAACTTATTTCGAAAATACCTAATTCAGTGAATTTTAAAAATGTATACGTTCTTTTTAATCTAATTCATACAATTAACATTTCTCTTATTTTTATTCATTGATACTTTTTATTAATATACTGACATTAAAAACAAGACAAAACTAAAAGTTTTTTTCTTTTTCATTGTATGCAAAATTGAGGCGCTTACCGCAAAAGTAATTTAATTGCCAAAATTTGATTTCCTGTTTTAAATCGTTACTAACTTATAAAACTATTAACTCTTTAAAATAAGAAACTCAATTTCGGCGATTAGACACTTTTGAGATAAGCGCTTTAGTTATATCAATATGTAAAAAGTAGGTAATGATCAAGGGTTCTTCGCAATCGCTGGCAATCGATTGTACCATGTCTGATGCTACAATATTGGTTAACTTTAATCGTTTATAATTTGAAAAGTATTATAGTCT